TCAACATGGTGAATTGTGAGGAGAAAGAGACAGGTGTTTTGCCTCAAAACCTATTTAGCAATAATGAAATGATTCATGCATACAAAGAATAGAGCGCACATGCAAAAGCAAACCGCAGTTTGCCTCTGTGTTTGCTGAGCTTATGTGCATGCATAACCACTTAAAATGCGATGTTACACGTGCTGAAACAGATACTACACTCAGCAAGAAGAGTCCTACATTTGTCCTCTGGTTTGTCTTTCTGTGCACTCTATTAAGGTAAGGAGGACAAGGTTAGGCTCGGTTCTTGTTTGTTTCAATGCACAAAGCACCGCTCTCCTTTTTGATGGTGTTGGGTCAGTTTACTTATAGATTTCTGTCATTATCATCCACTGAATACAACCATACTGAGTTGAATGGAAGAAATGGATACACTTTATGGAGATAAATTATATTGTTACCTTTTTTAAAATTTAAATTAAATTTATGACAAATTTTTAAACATAAAGCTACGCTATGATTGAGAACACCTGATGTCAGGTTTCAATATCAGCTTTGGAGCTGAAAAACTCGGTGCTTCCTCTTGGCAGTTCTATTTGAAGACTGTTAAAATGTTTAGGTAACTAACTTACAAAGATTAAGAATAAAGTATAGGCGATTTATTGCAATAAGATATTATATTTCACAGAGCTTTGTCTTATTTTATTTTTCATCTTGACAAATGGTTTTATCTAAATAAGTTATTGTCATGATAAGAGGAAAGTACGCTCAGTAACAGTTCGAGCTTCAATTTGGGAATAACCTGGCCTTTACAATGTGTCTAAATTGCTTAAATCCAACTCCAAGATAACCAGGCAAAACAGCTTCATTAAAAACACCATGACAAAAGCCAAAATAAAAGAAGAAAATGTTTGAAATTTTTAAACAATGTAGCATCATAGGAATTACCATTGCAATAGGCTAAGGTAAAAAAGGCATGGGCAAGAAAAAATGGTTGAAGCGCAATTATCAGGCAACATTTCTTTGCCCTGTAAAGTTTCACATTTTTATCCTATATTTATGTTTGTGGGAGGAAAATATTACTTCCTGTAGTCTTTAAATCCACAGAAATCAATAGAAGTATGTGTCCTTCATAAACTTTTTCACATTTTTAAATGTTAAAATTGGATTTATCATGGTAGTTTGACCCAAAGATGTTCTTAATTTTAATGCTAAAAGAAAATCAGTTGCTGTGTCTACAACTATAGATAAGAAGAGAGGCAGGTTTGTATTTAGACCTATAGTTCTATTATTTTGTTTTATGCCTCCATTTTCTGTTGCATGTGATAAGTAATAGTTTTTATGCTGTTCGTCTTTTTAAATTAGCTGAAGCTCAGTAAAATTACATTTTGGAAATACTTTAAACTCTCCCATCAGAATATCCATTGGGTTTCCTTTGAACTAACTTTCACTGTGATCCAAGCATTCCATTGCAGCTCTGGCTCCAGGTTTGGGTCCTGCTCTAGCTGGATGGGAAACTTCCAATACAGTTTTTTGCTCTTTAAAACCATTTTTCCTTCCTTCCAGGATTGTCCTGCGTTAAACTCTTAGACTCATTTGGAACAGCTTCCTTCTCCTAAGGGAGAAAAGCATTAAGGTGATGCCTTCGCCTTATTTTTGCCCCAGGTACGTATTTAGGGGGGTGCGCCGCATTAGCTTTTAGTCACTTATAGTGTTTTACAGCAAAAAATGTTGCAAACATTTTGGACCCCATTTGCAAGCTGAAAAAATTTGAGCCTTCTAATATGCAAATATCTTTTTTTGTTGTTTGTTTTAGCTACGCACAGGATGCAGACAGTTTTCCCTGTGAAATATATGGAGGTCACCGAAATAACAAAGCATGCATTTAAGAACATAGTCCTACAACTTTTATACACCAAATGTATTCAATGTTTAGTTTTTTATTAGCTGGCAAGAGTCATTGTTGAATGCTGCTGAGCAATTTTACCGCTTCACACATAAAAAAACAGGAATTTGACTCATTGAAATGATGTGCTGATGACTTACAATGACCTGCTGGTCTACGGTATGGGCGCATTTTTAATGGAACTAGCAGAGAAATACTTGTTACAGATTTTTATTATGTTAAGATTTTAAGGTTCGCTCAACCCTAACCTCTTCTGCACATCCTCGTGTGCCTCACCCATAGCTAAGCAATGGCATATTTTCTTTTGCAATCTGACAAGTATGGAATTTAGTTCAGATGAATGTGGTTTCCATTCCCAGAATATTTATAAAGTGTTGTGAAGACAGTAAATTAGATTATGAATAACAAATAAAAAGTCAAAGTTCCCAAAACCGTGATAAAAACGACTTATTTAGTGTAGTATAGGATCAGTATTCTAAAGCCTTAAGTGCATGTATGCAAACAGAGTCATTTTCTTTGCAGCTGATTTTAGGAGAAACAATTGACTTTACACTTTACTCTATGCCAAAAGAAGATACGTTTTAAATTATTTATATTTCAGGGGAAAATAACACTTAATTCCTTTCTAATTTAAACTAAATTGAAATAAAAGCCTGAAGAACAGTAAAATGTGGGGTTGTCTTTCTACTTGAAGCTCCAGAAGGAGCCGAACCACGAAAGGAGTTAAAATATGTGCATCCACATCATTTCCTCTTTTTGCAATAACTTAAGATTCCAAACACAGAAATGAATTAAGCAGGACAAAAACTACATTTCACATAACCTCTGACTTCTCATGAAGAAGGGCTAGAAGATCTGGAGCAGTTGAGATAAAAATCGAGGAAATATAGACAGTAAAGAATTTCTTTTCCCCTACATTAGTTTCATGAAATCCTCGGAAATTGCACGTCATTTTAAAGCTTACGGGGGCAGGGAGGGGGAGTTAACATCATCTGTCTAAACATTAGCTTGTGTGCAGCTTCAACACCTGTTTCTCTGGATTGGAAACTTTAAATTGTTGGGGCTCATGTCACAGAAGCTGACGTGAAAGAACCTTTGTTTTAGTTTTGTACATTCATTTATTCACCTTGGCTTATTTGGCTTTGCTATTGATCCATTTTGACTGAATTTCTACAGTAATTGGAAAAGAGAACCGGTAAGACCCATCAACATGCAGAATCTTAGGATAACAGTGAATGTTAAAGCTTATCCTTATCTTAGTAAAAGAGCAGACTGTAGATAGTGTATCAGATTGTATAAGAGCAGGTAAAGTAAGCGCAAGGTATAATCAAAACTTTAAACCGCTTAGAAGCCTCTGTTTTCTTTTAAGGCCCCAAAAAATGTAACTTACACAATATATATTTTAACTAAAAGGTAACAGGGATTGGCTGCATATGATATGAAAAATATGCATATTATGCCGCAACTTCAGATTGTTACATTTTAAATAACAATGTAACAATCTGCAGCTACTGGTTAGTGGCCACAAATACTTAAAAATATATTTTTCTTTATCTCTTAATTTTATATGTAATCACTGATAGATTGCTGTCTACTTTGCAGTTTAACAACTAATTTGGGTTTTCTAGATAAAACACCTAAAACGCTTAGGTTAAACAAAGTTGAACTAGGTAACAAGGCAAACTAAATAGATTCTTTAAAACATCATTTGAAATGTTTGAAAAATTTATTACGTTTGTGAAAACAAACTGTAATAGCATATTAATTTTTTTTTCAAAGCCCCCATTAGACTGAGACAAGTGTAAAAAAAACAAACAATATTTTGTGAATTAATTTTTCTTTAAAACATTTGTTTTTCTGAATTGCAAAGTTTAAGTTCAAGTAAAGCACTTTAAATCAGTTCTTAATGTGTGGGACATCAGAAAAAGTTGCAACGCTGGCTTTTTCAGAGCTATATGTGTATCTTCTACA